GTGTTACTCAGGCGACTTTTCTATGAGTGCTATCAGCACACACCTGCATCCTGCCGACCGGAGCCGGATCTTCTTGGTGTCCATTCCCTGAAGGTCACCCTTCTCAGCTACGGGCGCCAACTTCTCATTCGAGAGGATCTACAGCGTCAGCAGGGTCATCACCGAGCTTCCATTGCCGGCATGTCTGATCTCTATGGTCGTGACGACGTGGCTGGCCCCTTGGAGTTCCAACGCCAGGTGGTTGGGGCGGTTCTCGAGGGCTTTCGCCCACGTCGTCCCCGCTTGCGGGGCGGGCTTCCGCCCACAGCGGACATTGACATTCAATTGCCTACGGTACCTGGTTCATCTGACATGCCCGCGATCGAGGCCAACCCTGTCCCTCCGCCTGAGCATGATACATCCAGTGGCTCCGACGATGAGGTCGCTGCCCCCGCGTCGCCCATTCCACTGCCTCCACCTACTCAGGAGCTGCCAGAGGCTGTTGCGGAGGCTCTCTCAATGACGTTGGAGCCTTTGCCACCTGATGCTTCTTCTTCATCTGGTGTGGCTGAGGATTGGACTGAGGTTCATGGTCCAGCAGACGAATACTTCTTCCTGCTGAATGGTGTCTCCCGCATTGCACACAAAGCGCAGCCTTGCTGCTCTTCTCACCCTGCATTCCAGGTGAAAGTTGCTCACCTGCACAGGTCTTTCCGAGCAGGGTGTAGCGTTCGCGGTGTGGAGTCGCTCCAGTTTTCGGAGTTTGTGCCTGAAGGCTTTCGTCTGTGCTTAAAGCGCGGCTGTGTCCTGGACTAACCTCCTGCCGATCCAGCAAAGCAATTGCATCGCGCTCGAGTCTGCGCTCGCTTTGCTTGTTTCTGCAGTGCCTGCTGGCTCCTATACAGACCACGTTTGCATTGAGGTTAGGGTTTTGGCTCGAACTTCAGTTTTTTGCCGGTCTCTGCGGTCATGGATACATCCTCCAGTTACGACAGTGACTCCGCGAGTACCTCGTTCTCGTCTAACTTTCATCATCCACTGGAGGACCTACCTGCCACTCCGCGACGACCTGAGCTTCGCATTTGCCCCAGATACTTTCATGAACCAGAGCTGCTGACGCTCCTTGGCACTAGCTCCTCCATGGAACGGGAGATCCTCCTGCGTGCTGAGATCACCCTCTGGGAATCCGCTTGGGGTAGCATTGACTTCAATCACCGTGTGCTCCTCTTCTCCGGACCACAAGCCTGGCTGGCAGTTGCCCTGGGCAATCGCGAGCTGCACCGCTGCGTCTCTGCGGCTTTGCGTCTGGAGATGTGAGGGCTCCACCGTCTGTGAGGTGTCGGTTTAGTAGGAAGGTTTGCCGTGCCGTGCCACTTGCACGCTGCATCCTTCTCCACCGCATGACTCCAACGGTCTTTGCTGGAAATACAGTGGCTATGCACGTCTTGCATATGTTTGCCTGCACTTTGCTCACTACATACGCATGTGTCGTGTTGTGCATGCCTGCATCTGCTGCTTCGGCCGTAGCCTTTTTTCTCCTCATCTGCCGTAGCAGTTAGATTAGCCTACCTCAGTGCCTGGACAGCTTTGATCTCATGACTGCTCCTCCACGTCACGATGATCCTGCTTACTTTCAGAAGCGTTGCGAGGAGATGACTCTACCTTCGGGTTTGCTGGAGTCACTCACGGACAAAGGCTTCAACTCCATGGCGCTGCTCGCTTTTGCTGTACCGGATGAGGCGGCATTGGAGCACTTCCTTGTTACGATTGTGGGCCGTCCGCTGGGTGCTGATCCATCGGCCCCACTTCTCACAGCTGATGCTGCTGCACTGCGACGGCTCTACAATCTGTGCAAATCCGAGTGTGCAGG